CAGCAGGTATGTAAAATTCAATTTCATTTTCTAGTTTCGTCGATACAATTGACTTGTTTAACTTGACCCATTGATAACTATTCGTCCATATATCTAATGTCACCGTTTGCTTATCATGAAATTGTTTAAGACCTCGTTCACACGATTTTGACCATTTTTCAACAATTTCTAATGTTAAAATTTTAAATCTGGATAATAGAAGACGTTCACGAAATGTATTTTCATCCTTAATAACTCTGTTGTTTGATTCCAAACCATTATTTGTGATTGGAGTTAAATGTTTAATACCCTCATACCAACCATCATGTGAGTTTAACCATTGATTTTGAAAATATTCGATAAATTTTGGTTCTTTCTTGTTCCATTTTTTGATAAAAAGATTGGAAGCTTTCGTAAACATTCGTATACTTAGCCTCTGGAAAGTTTTTCCAGTCCGTTAATATGGCTTCTTTACTGGCACCAAACTGTCCACCCTCTCCTGTGCTACCGTGACTGTGTCCAGGATCGTTGATAGAATGCGAATGCACGCCATCTGCTGCAACACTAAAGGTACCTCTTCCATGTTTGTGTGCCGGTAATTCTCCCTCCAGCAGTTGACTACGGGTCGACGCTGTTCTTTGTAAGATCACATCGTATTTTATCGTTGATATAGTCATTTGAGATGGCTGCATAGTTTGATGGTTAGCTGCTATTTATAAAAAGATGGTTTCTACCTTCTGTCAGACTCTTGTGCATGGGTTAATTATATCTATGGATAATGCTGTATGTTTATCCATCTTCTAATTTGAACATTCTCAAGTCACAACAGTCTTTATGTAGCTAGTTAATAACTGTGTATATAACAAAACTGCATAACTCTGATAAAATACAGACACTATCAGATGAGCTAGTGATGCTCTAGTGAATGACTTGAAGCCGGGAAGTACTTGACAGGTTTCTTTGTTTACTAAGCATTTGAACAAGAACTTGGCAAGTCCCATGTAAGCAAAAGACGGGTGAAATGACTAGTCTTTCTTCCTAGTCCGGACAATCGTCCCGACGTTACGACAAAAAAGACCCCGTCATGACTATAGTCAAAAATTTTAACCATTGATTAAAAGAAAACCGTCCGGAGTAGTATGGTTGACTAGTCTACCGAGCTATATACTGACGACGTCTGGACTAGTCTAAATGAAAGAAGGATAGAGAAATAGGTTAGAAGCGAACATGCGACACTTTGCTTTGCATACCTGTGATTGAACCAACTGAGCCATTACGCCGTCAGTTTATGCATGCAGTTTTTAGTATACGTGAAGAACATTTCGCTGAAGCTTTTTAAGAAGTTAGATCTTCGTGGCAACTTGCAACCTTATCATACATAACTTTCGAATAAATACTTCTGCGCAAAAAATTTCTTTTTAAAAATTTTAGTCCGTGGTTCCATGGTTGAGCCATAGTTGAGCCAAGGAGAAAGTTTTCGACAAAATTCTTTGCTCAAATCTTTGTAATATGCATCGTTCAATTCGGTTTTCACATGAATTCCAAATAACACCTCGCTTCTGCTTCAAACTCACATCTTTCTGGTTGAAATTGAAATTATTAGGACAATTTTTCCAGTTTCTTGCTATCGGCTGCATTTTATGTCTAAGTTTCTTCATGAAGCTACCATTGATAACATTGTAAATTACTCTATCTTATACAGAATTATGCGCTCTACTCGATAGAACGTCTGTCGCTGTATTACCAACTGACATACTTTTGTACCCGTTTCACCCCATAAAATCGACTATGAGACGAATAGTATGACAGTTTAACAACCAGCCGTCTATAACGTGTGCTAAGACTCCCGTGTCGACTACCATTGTTTCATTTTTTCGAACCGCGTAGAAGTTCGAGCTACCACTCTATCATTTTTTGATCACTTCTTTCAATTCTGACTAGTGTAGATGGGCTCAAGGGACAAAATACGCTAGTCATGACGCGTAAATGAGACATTTCGGATTTGTCCAGACGGTAAACGTTTTTTCCGCCACAAGTCGGTACTTCTTCACGAGAACTTCATGTTGTTTTCTAAGGATAGCGTTTCTTGTCCAGAAGAGCTCTATGCTTCTTCCTGAAAAAATCGGTGTTTGCCCAGAAGCACTTAATGTTTTTTCCGCCATGAATCGGAGTTTCTCCCCCAGAACTTCGTGTTTTCGCCGCCACAAATCGGCGTTTCTCCACAAGAGCTTCAGGCTGTTTCCTAAGGAAATCGGTGTTTCTCTAGAAGCACTTAATGTTTTTTTCCCCATAAATCGGTGCTTCTCCACAAGAAGTTCATGTTTTTTCGTGAACAAATACTTGTTTCTCCACAGGAACTTCCTATTGTTTCCTAAAGGAATCGGCGCTTCTTCACAAGAACTTCACGCTTTTTCCTGTACAATTCGGAGTTTCTCCACAAGGACTTCAGGTTACGGTCACCCTCACCCTCGAGAAATCGGTGCTTCTGCAGAAGAACTTCATGTTGTTTCCTAAAGAAATCGGTGCTTCTCCACAAGAACTTAGGGTTTTGTCTAGATCGATTTCACCCCACCAGAACTGCTTGTTTTTTGCTTACGAAACGCTACAAAATTTTACGTTTGGATAAAAGCCACAAATGATTTTTGACTAATATCCTCTTCATGTAAATTTTCAGACACTAGCGATCTGTGGTTGTGATGCAAAATAAACGACTTAACAGAAAGTATACTGATTATTTGGCTCACATGTGTTTAACAAACAGAGCTCGATCAGGTTCACGTGCTTTCTCCTTCTGTTCTCAGTGGAGACCTACATGGACACTTTTTATCTGTTCATGTCCATCAGTTTGTCCATGGAATGTTCGCGTTTTTTAAAATCGTTGCTTTGACAAAAATTTTAAAATTTTTCAGTTTGTCCGTGTCCACGTGATGGTCCAGTTTTTGTGGTCTACGTCAATGTTGACTTTGCTGGTTTATGTTAACACAGAGACTTTCGCACTCTCACTCAGGCTACCACTCTCACTGCAAGCACCACGGTCTCTGTTCCCGTAAGCAATGGCTTAAATCGACTTAACTTAAACCAAAGGGTGAAAGGACCAACTATTATTTAGTCCTAATATTCTCCCTGCTCTATGTCGACATAGAGCAGGGAGAATATTTCGATATTTCGGCTCTACTTAAACCAGAGAGAAAATTGTTTGTAAATACATTTATTCAAGAAATATTACACTTTAGTTTATATTCACATGGCCTAGCAGACTAATGTTCTTCTTTCGAAAGATGTCGCTGCACCACAGCGAGACGTTGAGCGTTTACTTCAGAAATTGGATAAAAAGTCTACTGTTGGTATTGATGGAACTCCTCCTTCCTTCCTCTCTTCTTGTGCTGACATTCTCTCACCTCACCTTCACTTCATTTTTCATCTGTGTCTTTCTACTAGCAATTTTCCAACTTTATGGAAAACTGTATTCATTGTACCTGTTCATAAAAAAGGCGCTCTTGCTGATATTTCTAATTATCGCCCTATTTCACTTCTTCCTGTTGTTTCTAAAGTTTTTGAACGTCTAATTTATAATTTTCTTTTTTCTCATCTCTCTAAGCTCTCTTTTTTTGTAAACAAACAGTTCAGTTTTCGTCCTAAACATTCTACTCTGGATGCTTTGTTGTTTTTATCTTCAACCGTTTTTAACTTTTGGAATGCTGGTGTAAAGTGTGTTGGTGTATCTTTTGATTTTTCTAAAGCATTTGACTCTGTTCCTCATTCTCTCTTGTTAGAAAAATTATCTCGTTGTGGTGTGTGTGATTCTTTGTTATCTCTTCTATCTCCTTATCTTTTGAACCGTTCTCAGTGTGTGCGTGTAAATGATTCTGTCTCTTCTTCTCCTGTTCCTTCTGGTGTTCCTCAAGGCAGTGTGCTTGGGCCTCTTTTATTTCTTATATTTATTAACGATCTACCTCTGTCACTTCCACCTGATTGTGAAATCTGTCTCTTTGCTGATGATGGTTTTTTGATTGTTCCTGTTTCCTCTACTGACTCTTCTAATTAAGTAGAGAACTAGAAGAACGCCTTAGTGAAACTTCTTGTAACCAAGATCTTGTCTTCTTGAATTTTTTCAGTAAGATCTTGGTAAGAAAATATAAGAATTCAAGAAATTTCAAGAAGTCAAGATCTTGAACAAATCGGCACATTCTACAGAAAGTACGACGCCATTTGCCGAAGAAGTAAAAGATTTTTTTGAAAATGAGAATGTCTTTTCTTCATTTTCTCTTCTAACTGCATAAGAAAACACTACTCTAAAAGTCCACAACAAGCATCGGTTACACGTCATTCAAGTGTTACTCAATCAACTTGTTGCTGATTGAACCTGTAGTTCCTCGCTACCTTCCCTCTTCTTAGCATAATTGTTATAAACTCAAACAACAACTCCGAATGACTGGAAAAAGTCTTTCACGAAACACCAATTTCATTTTGTTTATTCACCGTTCTTTGTTCTTCCGTTGAGTCAGCAGTTTTTAATTACTATTCTAAGGGGTGAGAGGTGGGGTGGCGCGTAAATACGAGCAAAAAATTGATTAAGTAATACATGAATGGTGCATAACAGAAATAAGTTTAAAAGTTTATAATGACGGAAACTAATGGAAAGCCTCTTTTTCTACTATATACTGTTATAGTGGAGCAGACTCGAACGGCGGCGGCAATCATACAGACGCAGAGTGCGAATGTGCCACTGCAATTGTCCTCTACTTCTGCCGGTGGCAACCACAAATTCTTCACAAAAGCCAGGCTACGCCCATTTCCATTTTACGTGGCGAATTTTGAGAGTTTGAAAATGAATTCCGTGATTGTATACTGACTTGAGCAATATAGAGACGATTTCGAACTGATTGCAGTGATTTTCTATGATTTTTAGAAGCACCAAAATCAGTTTCTCCCTTGTCTATATATGTATTTAAAAACGTTGTGGTTATGAAAACGAAAACGGGTGTACCGTCGACCATTTTACAAACATCGGGTGCAAGTTTGGACACATCGTCGCGATTCATGAAATCGACGATGCTCTGTTTCAGTTCAGAAGGCGAATCATCCAGTATTCGAGACATTGAGACCTGAAAGTAGAGCAGTTTTGAATAAAGATTGAAATTATCGGAGTGGCGACATGGAACATTTTTGAAAGTTATAGCCCAGAAAAATGTTCTTTATTGCAGCTGGTACTTTCTATAATTATCCTCATTCACACAAAGTTCTGTTCTTAAACTACTGTTCATTCCACGTGGTAATTTATCTTTTTTGTTAATGATACGGATATTCTCTTGCTCGCTCTTTAGCGTTTTTGGATTGATATTATTGAACAGCAAATCTTGAATAGTGGTGTTATTCACATCACCGTTTTTTAAAGCATTTCCATCGTCTAAACTCAGTGGT